TAGCCGTCATTAGGTACGGCTAGCCTCTTCCTTCTAAAATTGACCTAAATTATCCCCTTTCGAACCTCAGATCATTCATTACAACAAGAGCGTCCAGAAAGGTTATTCGAATGGGCGTAACTACTCGTAATGTCTTATCAGCTTGTGAGAGGGGGTTATTTATGTGTTTGTAACTCTTTATAATAGAAAGCTATGAAAGATAGAGCGTTATTTTCATCATCGGTGAACACACTCCCGCGGTATTTATGGCGAAAACACACGTTTTCCGGAGTGCGCGCTGTACACCAACAGTACACACTGAGTGACCCCGGCGGCCTGCCCGGCACGTCCGACATAATCGGTTGCTGATAAGATACGCATCTGGGCACAGACGCAGGATAAGAGTTAAAGTCCACGATCCATTTGTTTCATAGTGGTCGCTCGTTACAGAAGTCCTCCCCATTTGTTTACATCCAGAGAAGAAAACCAGAAGTCTTGATGACCAAATAGGCAACACAAAGAGCAGGGATGCAACCTAGGCCTAACTGTAAAACATCAAATTATGGTAAAATTATATGCCCCCCTGACCCCTCCCCCCCACCTCCATATTTTTATTTTATGAGGTCAGGGGGCAAATCTACTCTTGACTTTAACGAAGGAAGTGGCTATCCTCACATAAAAACACGATCGACCCACTGACTGTGAAACAAGACCTGTTTTTCCTAATTTCGGAAAACTGTCTATCGGTGTGGATGATCGGATTGACAAAAGCAAAGAAAAAATGAGGTTATAGCACAAAAGTAAGCTAGAAAATCTAATTTGATCGTCTACAAAGATGCTGGCTATTTCACTTAAAATTGAAATCGAGCCGAACTACGCGGGTCGCCAATTTGTTTTGCCCGAAAGTTCTCGCAAGATCTACTCCTCCTGTCTTTCTCTCTCTTTGTCTCTTTCTGAATATTGTCTCTATCTGTGTGGACGATCAAATTGATCGAAACAAAGATAAAAAATTATATTAAAACACAAAAGTTAATTAAGTCGTCTACAAAGATGCTACGCTATTTAACTTTTTGAATCGAGCGGAACTACGCTGGTCGCCATTTTGTTTTGCCCGGATGTTCTCGCGCAGCCACCTCTATTCTCACTTCGTGTGAGAATAGCGCAGGTGAGCTTTGGCTATTCTCACCCGGTGTGCGTTCACCGTTATAGCCTAAGCCAACCATTGCAGCGTTCACCCTGAACCACAGAATTCTACACACTGTGATAACAGAATTGTAGATTTCTGTGCCGTGAACAAACGTTCTACACTCTTGTGTTTCTTCTGTTAGCCTAAAAGCGTGCAATTTTGTCTGTTGGCAGTGGAGAGAGAGAGAGAGGAGTAGCGCGAGAACTTGCGGGCAAAACAAAATGGTGACCCGCGTAGTTTGGCTAGATTCGAGAAGTTAATTAGCCGTAGCATCTTTGTAGACGACCAAATTAATTTACTTTTGTGTTTTAACATCATTTTAAAACTTTGTTTTGGTCAATTTGATCGTCCACACCGATATACAGTATTCAGAAAGAGACAGAGAGAGAGAGAGATGGGAGGAGTAGATATTGCGAGAACTTACGAGCAAAACAAAATGGGGACCCCCGTAGTTCGGCTCGATTCGAAAAGTGAAATAGCCATAGCATCTTTGAAGACGATCAAATTAGCTTACTTTTGTGCTATAACGTCATTTTTTCTTTGCTTTGGTCTATTCGATCATCCATACCGATAGACAGTATTCTGAAATTACGGAAAACAGGTCTTGTTTCACACTGGGTGAGAATAGCCAACGCTGGCAAGTCTCACCCGGGGTGAGAGGTCGATCGTATTTTTATTCTCACTCTTGGTGAGGATAGCCACTTCCTTCTCTCTCTCTCTCTTTCTCTCTCTCTCTCTCTTTCTCTCTCTCTCTCTTTCTCTCTCTCTCTTTCTCCCTCTCCCTCTCCCTCTCCAGTACATCCTTGAGTAAAGACAATCCCACAAAGCTTACCCAGACACCCTTGCTCACATTGATGAATTCCCAGTCATAAATTTTTACAGAACAGAACAGCATGAATAAACGATACTTTGAGAATATAATAGATACTGAGAGAACATAATAATATTTGTATTGGGAATGTCGGAAATTACAGATTGAAGCTGGACTGAAACAAATGCGCTTTAAGTGCTGATTTAAATTTTGATAAAGTGGTGGACTCCCAAAGATGAGCTGGTAAAGCATTCCATAAGGAGGGGGCGTGGTGTGGAAAAGCTCTCCCTCTGAGTCTCTGACTTTTGCTTTGGACAGGTCTTAAAAGTCTTTTCGTCGCCGATCTCAAAGGCCGAGATGGTATATTCGATGACCATGTCACAAAGATATGATGGTGCAATGTTGTTGACGCACTTAAAACAAAGAACAATTATTTTGTACTGAATTCGTGCTTTCACCGGGAGCCAATCATGTTGTTGAATTAGCATTGGTGTTATATATGCTCTTTGAGAGATTTCTTTAAAATTATGCGAGCAGCTTGGTTCTGGAGTTGCTGTAATCTATTTAACGTTTCAGTGGGAAGGTTTCCAAACAAAGAATTGCAGTAGTCTAGACGTGAAAGGACAAAAGAAGAGATGAGGGTTTTGATGGATGGAATCAACACTAAGATATGTTGACATTTGTTCTATTCTGTGTAGTTCTAGATAAATTACCTTACAAAGATGGTTTATATGATGGTGTATAGAGAGTTGGCAGTCAAAATAAATGCCTGGATTTTTCGCTTTATCTGTGAAAAAGATGTTATCATTCCCAATACATATATGGTCAAAATTGCAAAGCAATATCCCTGGTTTGGCATTGCAAAACAGAACTTCGGTCTTATCATCATTCATTTTAAGTCTGTTTGACAATCCATTTTTTTACCTCCACAATACATTGTTCCATGCTGGTAACTATGCAATTGAAATTTGTTGGTAAAACAGACTTGTACAGCTGAGTGTCGTCCGCGTACATGTGGTAGTTAACGTTGTGCTTCCTAATTATTGAACCTAAGGGCATAGTGTGTATAAGAGTGGTCCGAGAGAGAGTGATGGACAGAGTTTCCACGCCCAATAACTCTCCACGGACACATATTGGTCAAGGACTGGTTGGGTGATATGTCGGGGTTTTACACAGTGTCAGTATAATGTAAAAATATAAATGCAAAGGAGGAAATAGGATGTGGTTGTTTGTACAGAGTTGATTGTCTTATTCAGGTGTTGTTAGAGCAGGTTGAACAGTATTAATAAATTTTCATCCTCTTTTCAGAAAAAAACTGCGAAGTGACATCTTGAATCAGTACCCTTGCTTAACTGAACAAGATGTTGCTACTCTTGTTCCAAATAAGGAAGAAATGAGTGCGACGAAAATCTGCACAAGTGGTGATGACAATGTGCTGGTGTACTCTGTTGCAAAGAATCCAATCTTCTATGATATATTCAAGAGACTTTATCCAACAGGTATGTGTACACTTCATTTCTTGATGAATCAGAATGTATTTTCAGTCTTTTGTTCATTCTAAATAAGTAAGAATATAAATGCCTAGAAAAAATGAGTGAAAATTGTTTACAGGATGTATGTTAGCATTAAACAGAAATATCCCTTTCTTTTAAATTTATTCTCTTTGTTTTCAAGTCTGGCCGCATAACTTATTATTATGCACTTCTTCACAATAGCAATCTTTAGTCCCTCTTGCCAACCTGCCCCATGACCCAGCATGAACCAGGTAAAGCTGCTTATAAGGCCTTGCTGCTTGTACCAAAGGAGTCTCACATTTGCTTTTCATGGAATGTGTACTTTTAGTACAATAGTGTTAAAGAAGCCTATTTGTTTTTCAGTTACTGAAACATCATCAGGCTGTACAGTGCATATTATATTCAAATGGAAACAGATTCATGATTTCTTTGTATTCTTTTCTCAGTTCATATGTTTGCATACACTGTCTTGACCAAATGGTACTCACACCCTATTGTTCCTACGCACCAAGACGGAATAAGACAAGACGGGACAACAGCCTCATTTTCGTTCCAACAGGCTCCCCTCGTTAACCAGCTAGCTGCGCGTTTAAAGCGTAAACAAACGACACAAAGAAAGAGCACACTGTTCAACTCGCTGAAATAGCTGCCTTCTTTGAATTTCATCGTGGCAGTTTTGCCTTAGTTTTTTTCATATCTTCTTCTTCTTCTTCTCGATCGCATCACATTTGAAGTCCGGTATCTGTCATAAATTGGGCCGTCCTGCTCAGTTCATCTGGCGGCCTGTATAGCTTCTCTTGTAGCGTCAGTGGGGTTGGCCACGTTTCCTGTCTCAGGGCCCTGTGTGTCTTGCAGTGCTGAAGGATGTGTTCAACAGTTTGGTCCGCCTCTGCACACTGGCATTTTGGTGATTGTACTAGTTTAAAACATTTGTACATATGTTGTCTCAGTATTGTGTGTTGTGTCCTTAGTCTGAAGATAATCACTTGTTCTTGGCGGGACAGCTCATGGTAGTTATCTGGTGTCTGAGGTGCTTTAAATAGTGTATTTATAATAGTTTTTATTTCTGTGTAGTTAACGCTGTTGTCTGGTTGCTCTTTTTGTGCTCCTAGTTTGGCCATCCTGTCTGCCTGCTCATTTCCTAAGACACCACAGTGTGATGGAATCCACTGCAACATGATCCTCAGACATGGGATGTCCTCAATTTCTTTTCGTAGCCTTGGTAGTTTGCCGGAAGTGATTGCCTGCAGTACTGACATGGCATCTGTTAGGAATACTACTTGGCTTTGGGGGTCTACCACATTCTTGATAGTGTTTGCTGCATGTACTAGAGCCTCCGTCTCTGCCCTGTAGTTTGTACAATGTCGCCCTGTTGGGACTGCCTCTGCTTGTCGTCGTCCATTTGGGAATTGTACGTACACTCCGGCTCCTCCTCTTTTCACAGCATCAGTGGCAGATCTTTTTTTCATATAAATTGTTTGGTATTTATCTTGACAGGTTTTTGTTCACATTTTGAATATAGTGAGTTGAGAAATTTAAGGTTTTTATGAACGGAAAGCGGTAGTGGGTTGAACATGTTCAGTGACATGAAGATGTAAATCTAGGAGTTTACGAAACGTAGAAGTAGATAAGATCTTAGTTTAAAAACGACAGAACGGCCAGTGGTGCTCTGCAATGAACTGTTGTCTAACAGAATATACAATAGATTAGATCCAGATCTGGATTAACTACACAGCGAGCTGTTCCCCAATGTCAGAATCAATGATCATGAACTGAAGCTAGGAAACAATGGCACTCCTGTACAATGTAACAATAGCGGTCCTGTTTGCACTAAATCACTCAAGGCCTAAGTGCCTCTGTGGTAATTTTTACGTGTTTCTTATTTAGATTTAGGCCAAGATTATAGATATCTAGAATCTAGATCGATCTAGCTATCTAGATCTAGAAATACATTATCTTGGCTATGTAGATCTAGATAGAATCTAGAGATATCTAGATCTAGATCTAGATTCACTCCCACATGACAATAATGGCCGTCATGTAAACATTAAACGGGACCACAATTGTACAGGTGCACTGAAAAAGAAGACAATGAAACAAGCACAGAAGCTTAAGTAGATCTATATACTGTTGATATGATAGTATGAATCAAGTTGCATGATATAGATCTAGAGTGTCTTCGCCAATTCACAGACATACCGCTTGTCAAGAGTCGCCCTTCGGTCATTCGCCAACCACTTAAGGGCCTAGATCTAGATTTTTAGATCTACTTTCTGAACTGCACACTCTTGGCTGGGTGAACAACAGAATCTAGACTCTCTAGATTTCTTGACAACATATATAGACACTTAGACAAGCCTAAAACATACTGTAGGATCCTGTTTGTTGATTTTTCGTCAGCCTTTAATACTATCCAGCCAGCTATCCTTTTAAAGAAATTAGAAAACATAGGTGTTAACGTCAATTTAATGTCATGGATAGGCAATTTTCTTACCAAACGAACCCAGTATGTAAAATTAAAACATTCTTCATCGACATACATCACAACAA